ACGACGACTGCTGCTGCTGCTGCCACTGCTGCTACTGCTACCGCTCCTCCTTGTCCTTCTGCTCCACATCCTCCTCCTGCTGCTGCTGCTGCTGCTGCCACTACCACTGCCGCTACCGCTACCACTACCACTGCCAGAACCATGGACTAGTACCAGTACTAGTACGAGTACTAGTACTACTACCCTACCTCTACCTCTACCGCTACTCCTACTCCTACCTACCACTACCTACCTCTACCTGCTGCTACCTACTACTCCCCACCTGCTGCTACTACTACTACTACCACCACTACTGCTACTACGACGACTACTACTACTACTACTACGACGACTACGACTACGACTGCTGCTACTACGACGACGACGACTACTACTACCACAGCTACTACTGCTACTACTGCTACAACTGCTACTACTGCTACTACTGCTACTACTGCTACTGCTACTGCTACTACTACTACTACTACTACTACTACTACTACAACAACTACTACTACTACTACTACTACTACTACTACTTCTACTACTACTACTACTACTACTACTACTACTACTACTACTACTACTACTACTACTACTACTACTACTACTACTACTGCTGCTGCTACTACTACTACTACTACTTACTACTACTACTACTACTACTACTACTACTACTACTACTACTACTACTACTACTACTACTACTACTACTACTACTACTACTACTACTACTACTACTACTACTACTACTATATTTCATGCCACTATAACTCTATGACTACTTCTCCAGCGGGACTACTTCCACCGCTGATGCGGCTCAAACCCAACACGAAGACAACTGCGGCTGCGACATGCCACTACGACTTGTCATCTGCAGACATGCTTTGCTGCTTATGCGGTGCTTTTAACGCTGTCGTACTCGTACTTGCTTTTTATTACTTCTATTCAATGGCAGGATACATGAAGGCCGGGTTGCCAGGCCACAGCGCTGGATCATCAAGTCTTCGTGCCTGAAGACGCACGACTCCAATACCGCATGAGCGGTGCAACTTCCAGACACCACCGCATGGGCTCATGTACATGTATTTCTCCAGAGTGGAGGTTTGATTCATATATATATATATATATTTTTTTATTTGTTTATTTATTTAAGCTGTCCGGATCTCATGCCAGGCTAGCTTTGTGAGCATAGGAGGTTGCCAAGGCAAGCACTGCCCGTACAAGGGCAGCAAGTAGACGACCGCGGATGGGACTTGGAGAACACCTGTGGTTCTAGGGAGGGATGAAGGCAGAGCGAGAGAGAGAGAGAGAGAGAGAGAGACCAGGGGGAAACAACCTGCTATCACACTCCCCCAAAGCCTCCATAAACATCGGGTGGGGGGGGAGGTTTGCGGGCGGGTGGCTTCGCACACCCCTCATGCCCCGGGGAAGAAGACCGAGCGAGCAAGCAAGCACGCAGGGAGGGAGAGAGAGAGAGAGAGAAGAGCAGATCGGGCCGCCGGCGTTTTCTAGCTGGAGAGATAGAAGTGCAGAACGGCTGCACTTTCCATTGCATCCAGTGCGTTCGAATATTGCTGCAGGAGTTGTGTTGCGCCGCTCATGGAAAGTCGAAATTATTGAAACGGGAGGAGCTGAGTGGATGTCTCACGAGTTGAGATCCAACTTTAGATCAAGGATCGATGAAATCCTGCTGCTGAAAGCATCGCGATTTCACCATTACCGCAGTCACCACAAGATATACATATCATGAATGTACCTTTCTACATTCTGAAATGTGCGGCCGCTCAAGCAGCAAGCAGTCGATCCCTGACGTCAATACCTGCCCATGTATCGCAAGAGATGTCCAGGACATCGCTGCAACACTGCAAGGTGCCTCTGTTTTGGAAGCCTCGGTGTCCTACTGAAACCTGCGTGCCGATATCTTCAACAAACCCAGTGGCTGTATCCTTGGTTTGGTCACTAGCCGCTAGCCTGGAACCGATCCATTTACCTGCGGATGTTTGCCTCATTTTGCTTTCAAAATCTCCTGCTGTAGATGAAGACTAGGCCCCCCTCAGTCTCAGAGCATCCCAGAGACTCCAATATTCCTTAATTAAGGAATATACCTTAAATTATAGTGGGATCCCTAATATGATTTAAGGTATATTCCGTAATTAAGGGGTATTGGAGTCGCTGGGATGCCTGTGTACCAGCCCGTTGAACCCTGATCTGCGGCTATACCTGCAGGCTTGAAAATAGCATCCCTGTTGCCTTATTGATCCCTATTGCAGGGTTCACTGCAGGCATGTTTGGTTGGAATGGATGCAAAGAAAGATGTTAGAGTCAGTCTTCGTGCGGTTCGTGACTGTGTTGTGGTAAATTCCGAGGAGAAGCCAGAAAATGAATCCCGCTGCTCTCAATCCATTTGCGTTCTAGGGCCCGGAGCCTAGTACGGTTATTGACTTCTACTTTTGTGTTGCCTACACATCACGGCAAACGCTTCCCAGAGGGACCGCTCATCATGGGCTGCATTGAGGATGTGCCCGACTGTGCATGGCCTGTGTCAGAAACCTCAGGTGGAGCCGCAGCAAGTTTCTGGTTATAACAGTGGGACTTCAAGCCATGGTCACAAGAGTCGCAAGCATGGCATTCACGTTTGGCTCAGAAGCTGCACTAAGAAGTTGGGCGAATCGCAAACTGTACGCACGGTCGTTTACCCAACATGCAACTCAACAACATGCATCTCTCTCGTGACCTACCTCTCTCTCTCTCTCTCTCTCTCTCTCTCTCTCTCTCTCTCTCTCGCTCGCTTTAAATATGTGCATATGTGTGTGTGTGTGTGTGTGTGTGTGTCTAGGTCTGTATGCATGTGGGTATGCCTTTGCGTCAGCATTTACGAATGCATGTATGTATATCATATATGTATGCATGTATCCATGTATCTATGGCAGTTTGTGTGCGTGTGTGCGTGCATGCATGTATGTATGTGTGCATCTGTGCATCTGTGCATGTGTGTATGTGTGTATGTATGTGTACGTATGCATGCATGCATGCGCATGTGTATTTATGCATGTGTGTATGTATACGTACAATTGAATACATTATACAGGCATGCACGTATGGATGGATGGAAGGATGGATGTACGTCTAAGTAGGTATGCAAGTGTTGGCATGCGTGTCAAAACACGCGTGTGCACTCGTGTAGTTTGGGAGGCTGCTGTGCTTGCCACTCTGATATATGACCTTCTGAAGACCAAGGGTGCTCCGAATGCATGGTTTCTATACCAAGAACCGCGAATCGCGGCTTCAGTTTGACGTTTTTGACGCACCTCCGGAGTTGCCACTGTCGGCTTCTGACTCAGACAAAGGCGCCCCGCAAAATGTTGCGTGAGCAGCAGCCAGACTTAGCCTGCATCGGTCATAGGCTACTCAAACTGCCGGGATTCTTTGGGTGAAATCAATTCCCACCAGCTGTTGCTACATTTTGCCACGCCGCTCTAATACCTATTTTGCACTGCATCGAGGACGTCTTTCAGACTCCTGCAGCACAGTTTCACAGTCGGGCCACACGGAACAAGCTTTACGGGTGAGTATGGCTTGAAAGGCAGCTATCACGTTCTGCATACGTCTCACTCTATATGGGAGTTTCCGAAAATGAGGGGTACCTTATCATGGGGACCTTATAATAAGGATCCTACTATTTGGGGTACTATATTAGGGTCCCCTCTTTTCGGAAACTCCCATATAGATGCGGTACATGCGCCTGTGTCTAGCAGGCACGCACCTCGCAGAAAGGGCAGATCAAGGCCCACTTTGACCAATGCCGTATCGAAGAGTACACAGGATTCTATGCCTTTCAGGGTTTAGGGTTGAGGGTTTAGGGTTTAGGGTTGAGGGTTTAGGGTTTAGGGTTTAGTTTAGTAAGCGCGCTGCAAGAAAGATCCTTCGCATATAGGTATCGGCAGTGCCTTGATGTTTGCTGCTTCTCTGCCGGAACCTCACCCACAGTTCTTGGCCAGCTCGCAGGGCGAGAACTTCACAAATTCCCCGAACAGCATGTCTTAATCACGCTGTTTCCGTCTAATGCTTAGAATTCGTCATTCCATTATTGTCACATGGTCCCGGCATGTCCCGGCATGGTGAGATTCCGGATTTTGTTTTGTTCTCATGCTTGGCGCTTGCCACAGTGCAGCAGTTAAGCCTCTACCAAGAATACCGCCATCAAATTCCTGGTTGCACATACGATTGCCCAGAAAACTTACCATACTATATTGCTAGCACAACATCGCCTTCTGGTACTCGTTACATAGATCTTTGGGGTCGCAGGCCCAACGGCGGGACCCGTAGGCTAAAGCGCGACAGGGATTCGGGGCCCAAATGTTCATATGCTCCGAGCAATTCTTGCCGCTTGTGTGGGTTCCTCCGGGCTTTCTGCGATCCCTGGCTAGACGCAATACAAGATGCGCCAGCTTCGAAAATGGTGCTCATTTGTGCAACTGCTTGGTTCAGAGAAATCCGTGCCAGAGTCCATTTCGAATACTCCGAGTCTCGAGTCAACCAACATGTCAAAGATTACCACCTCCGAGCAGACGTACACATGTCTAGCCTCATAAGCCTATGGGGGCACAGCTCATTGTGCCATACACGTCTGTCCCAGTCATTTGCGGCTAAGGTGGCGCCCGGCATCCACAGTCACACAGGCACAAAAAGGCCAACAAACGAGCACGAAACAATGAGATGCCATTTGGCAACGAGAGGCACACGAAAAGCAGACATGAAGCCCTCACAAAGCAGTTGAATCCCAACCCCCCGGCAGAGCTCAGCCAGCCGGCACAAGTCCTGCGCAAACTTTTGAAGCAGACTGAGACATGTGCAAGCCTCGCCTGCCTGGTGCGACAGAGTCGTCAGCCAGTGTTACAGAGACTGGTGTTCAAGCATGAATAGTTACCTACTACTAGTCTTTGGGATTGCCATGATTAAAAATATGTATGAATCTGAAACCTCTAGCATAGTATACCCAAAACCCTGATTGCATTGAGGTGCCAGGGCTGCGCTGACCGGGCTGCGCTTAACGACCCGCAGGCACGTCACCCCGTTGCTTGCTGATTTTTAGGGTTTGCTCTTCGTATTCGGTTCATTCTATCCCTCGTGGTCGTCATCTGGGAGATATCTGAGGGCTTGGCGCCTCTATTGACTAGGAAAGTGCAGATGAAGTAAACATGCAGGACATGCTTTTCACAGTCTTAGATTGTGTTCCAGCTACATGTGGCTAACTGCGGCTAACTGTTCAGGTTCTGTTCAGTTTGACAGTGCTTTGACAGTCTTGCTATCATGCTGATGTGGACTGTTGGCTGCTGTAGCGGTTTCCCATTTGCACGGTGCTGGCGCCGGTGGCTCATGCAACCGTTGGCAGGCGAGAAGCTTGCAGTGTAAGGGTCTTCAGGTCTCAGGACATGTCATGCACTTGAGGGTCCTACCAAATGAATGCTCTTGAGCAAGGAAGGACAACCGCCAGTTGCTGCTCAACCGCAACCTGCCGGGCTTCAAAGTGATGAGCAAGGCTCGGCATTTCATTCCCTCTTTTCAGAGGTTTCGAGGCACCCTGAGAAACTTCAGCCTTCGCGTTGCGGAACTTGTTTGTGGGTGGCGTCGGCATGGACCCCGCCATGTTCGGGTTTGACTTCTCGAGCATTGGATTGCAAGAGGATCTTTACATACAGGCCACGGCATAATGCCATAGCGACTCGATCCCGGGAAGCTTATTTTCAGTAGGGGCGCCTAAGCCTTTTTGAGGGAGTTCTAGGGACCCTTAAGAGTCTATATAGGGTATATAGTAGGTATTCAGGAATCCCAGGGTTCAGGGCAGGGGCCCTTGGCCTCAACCCTTGATGTTTGAAAAGCTAAAAAGTGCAATTTGAGAGCTCGAAGAAGCCAGGATGTGATGTTTTTTGCGATGACTTCAGCCCAGATGTTTAGGGTGTTCGCACTCCATGACTTGATGCAGGGGTTCGCGAGGCGAATGTTCTTCGGGGCATGCCGTTCTCCTAGGGGCAGGGTATTTATCAGGGACCCCTTAATCTAATTATTTAGGGTTTATAGAGTTTATGGTTCGACTCGCCCCTCAATGAACCGCAAGCGAAGGTGAACGCAGTGCGCTCGGCCATCCTGGAGAACTTGGTGCGGGGAGGGGGGGGGTGCCGAAAATGCAAGAACAAGAGCGTCGCTCACGACATCTACCTGTACTGATTGTCGTCTTCAGCGTTGCCGTTCCCGGTTCTTCCTTCGGATCAGCCTCAGTACCGTCATCATTGTTGTCATCACCAGATTTGTCAGCACCATGATGCGCATCGCCACCAGTAGCTCCGATTCATGCTGACGGTAAGAATGCGTTCGGCTCTGAATCCTGCAGGCCTCGGATCCCCGGTGTTTAGGGTCCTGGCACCCTCCAACTCATGCTGCATTAGAGCTACTTTGACGCTTGGCATCTGTGTTATTCGTCTCTACACTCCCAACGCTCACAGGTTTCCTTCCAAGCTGGAACCCCAAACCAGAGACCTGGCATCACATGCAGGTGAGCCCCGCGGAAGCGAATTCGTGGACCTGACGAAGTCATTTGACTCCTTCCAGGGCTTTGGAACATTGCATAGGCTTTTGTAGTGTTGGTTTTTGTACACGTCGAGCTCTCCACTTTGGGGTTTCAACGATGCTTTAAGTTGGCTTGGCCATTCCCACTAAGGGCTCGTGCCCGAAATTCATCATTTCAAACGCTTGCAGCCAGGAGTGGCCAGGAGATCCTGCTGTGGGAAGATGAGGCAGCACAAGACGACTTCGAGGCGTGATGAAAAGCTCCCTGTGTGGGGTGCTGATGTCTTCGCTAAAGTAGCTATGCAGTGAACATGGCGATTTCGTCCCTTGTCTGGGTGGGCGACAGAGGTGGTCATCTTGTAGTAGTGGTATATAGTAGTAGTAGGAGTAGGAGTAGGAGTAGCAGGAGTAGCAGGAGTAGCAGGAGCCGCAGGAACAGCAGGAGCAGCAGGAGCAGCAGGAGCAGCAGGAGCAGCAGGAGCAGCAGGAGCAGCTGTAGCAGCTGTAGCAGCTGTAGCTGTTGTAGCAGTAGCGGTAGTAACACTAGCGCCAGCACCAGCACAAACACAAGCACAAGCACCAGCAGCATCAGCATTATGAGCACAAGACTTGGCCCTCGCATCAGCACTACCTGTAGCAGTGGTGGTGGTGGTGGTGGTGGTGGTGGTGGTGGTGGTGGTGGTGGTGGTGGTGGTGGTGGTGGTGGTGGCGGCGGCGGCGGCGGCGGTGGTGGAAGTGGCAGTAGCAGCAGTAGCAGTTGGAGCAGAACCGGAAGCTGAGCTGCAGCAGGTGGGACACGACACTTAGGGGGTCTTAACATGTCTTGACATGTTTCGTCGGATGGCAGGATCTCCTTCGCATGATAAACGAGGCACCGACCATTGAAGATCTTGGAGGCATCGCCGGTAGTCAGATGGGGGTGGATTTTTAAAATTAGGGTACCCTTAGCCATAGTCACGGTGGGGGTGCCTTCTGGCAGAGATCCTGGTTGTTAGGGCTTTTGGGGTCTGTACTCGAGTTTCACATTTTCTGACACTCCCGTGTATTGAAGATGGTCAGCATAGCAATCGTCCTTTGGTCAAAGTTGAAGAACCAGAGCACTCGTCACCAGTCCTCGCTGCTCAAGCAGAACCGATCCGATTCTGAGGATTAGGGTTAAGGGTTCCGGGGGAGGGGGGAATGACGGATTCTTTTGACCGACATGCGAGGGCTCACGTCTTGCCGTTGCTGTTGACACCATCCTTTGAAGACCACTGCTGCAGTCTCGCACGTTTGGGGCTGAAGGTGCCCACACCAATCGCAGCTTTAGCAACCGCTTCGGCAAAGGCTCAAAAGTTGAATCGAAAAGTTGTATGTCCTGAACTACATGCACTTCCCTTTCCAAGACCAGGTGCCTATGGGGCCAATAGAGAGCCGGTCGATTGCCTCAGCTCACTGAGATTTTGCAGGATTTGTGGAGTAGATATTTGCTGGGGATTTCCCTCGTACTCGTGTGAATTTTTATCGCATGGTCGACAAATCGTCCAGGCAAAGCGGGTCTTCACGTCGTGTGAGGACATGCTCAAGAAGCCTGGCGGGCTCTTGCTGGGCTTCTTAATCTAGAGACTATAACCCCCTAAGCCCCTAAATGCTAAACCCTTTGCCTACTTTAGGGATTTGCTCTCGACCGGCTTGCTGTGGCCGCCCACGTGAATACTCGAATCATGACGCTGGCTATTTCGACCAAGCAGCTTGCAAAACAGGTCCCGGACACATGCCGGCAATCATAACAAGCAGAGCTCAACTGCTCGCGAGGCCTGAGCATCATCGGAAGTCCACGTCCTAGTGTCACGATCCGGTGGCCAGGAACCCCCAAGCCCTGCACGTGCTCGAGACCCAGAGCGACAGTCGTCCGAGTACGCAAATGTGAAACAATAAGCCCCCCGAGTCGCTAACCCCCCCCCCACCTTCCAAGCAAAGACATCATCAACTACCTCTCGAGTTTTCACATTAGCCCTGCACCCCTGAAAGGCCCTCTGACTGCACTTAGAACTCTTTGAAGTCTCCCCCCCCCCCCCCCCCCCCCACCACCATCCCCGCTCCATCCCCACCACCATCCCCGCTCCATCCCCACCCCCACCCCCCCAACCCCCACCCCCACCCCCCACCCCCCCCCCTGGGGGGCACACGTCGCCATGGCCAAAAAGCTCGCGGAAGCGGCTTCCAATGCCTTCGGCCGAGGAAAAGTCGCCGAGGATCCCGGCACTAATATGATGATTATTAATAATAATAGTAATAATAATAATAGTAATAATAACAATAATAAGGAGATTAGTAAGAGTCGTGGGAATAATAGAAGATCAACATAGTGTTGAAATTCTTTATTGTGATACAATAACCTGCATCCTGCATTATGCACATACTATGTTTAGACATATGTATGTGCGCCCTTCTTTGCTGCTGATAGTGGTTTCGATGTCTGTAAGTTTTAAGTGACGGCTGCGATGTGTATTCTTATATTATATACTTGTTCTGTTTTATCGTCGTTTTCTGAGAGGTTCAAAAGCCTGGTTATTTCAATGAGGCTCAACAGTCCAGGACCTAGGAAGTTTGTGGGATTTTAGGGGTTCCGGATATTATGATTTTAAGAGGTTTTGTAGCTATACAAGCGCTCGAAGCATTGCAATACAGAGAGAAGGGCAACGAATACAGCTTACGATTCTGACTGTGGTGAGAGTGATGATGCCTGTTGGGTTGGTAGAGGCCGCAGCAGGGCCAGTAACGGGTGGTCGTTGGGTGGTCTCCTGGTGGTTTCGTCGGGTGTCCCTGGTGGTCTTTTGGTTGACGTGGTCGTTGCGTTGTCGTCGTGGCGGTCCTCGTAACTCGTGTTCGCGGTCATCGTGGTCCTCGTGGTGCTCTTTCACTGTTTGGGCATGCAGGCGGGCATGGTGTTGCTGCTCGGTCTTGCTCCTATCGTGGTCTCAGATGTTGCATTCGTCTTTTGGAGAGACGAAGTTTGATTTCAACTCTTTCGGCTGTTCGCTTCGAGACTTCAGGGTATTCGGAGCCGTTTGGGTTATGCTCCTTCTAGATTCTAGACACTCCGCCTTTATATGAGCCGTTTTTGTACCGTCGTTTCGGGGCCAGTTGAATCCGACTTGTTCCTCATTCAACTTCGAAGAATGGGATAGTGCAAGGGCGGTTGCATGTGCTGGCTTCCTTTTCTGCCGGGTGTTGTCGGAGTGACCAAGGTTGCGCGGAAGAAAGAGTTGCAAGTTGGCGTGTGATGCCATCTAGAAAGGAGTTCTGCCTCCCCGGTAGACAGCAAGAGAAACAAGTTTCCCACTTCATCTGTGCAGGACGCCTTCTGGTCGGAAGCCAGGCGCCGGGTCAGATGTGACTGTGGTAGTACTGGTACGTTATATAACGAGCGCAAGCGAGCGCAAGCAGCCGTGCAACCCCAAAAGAAGACAGGGTGGCCGTGTGTGTAATATAGGAGCCTTAACAATCACAATAGGGATATTAGAATTATAATAACAAGGGACCCCCCACATAGTAGAGGTATTAATTATTTAGGCCCCTACATTAGAGCTTGTTACTCTGACGTTCGTGGCTCATAAACTTACGTTTGGAGCTTGTTGCTGCGCGCTCTCGAACGGATTCACCATCTGGCCTCAGTATCATGCCCGACAGTGCTTGAAAGTGCCTGGTTAGGGAGGCCATGGTGAAGTGGTGGTGAGGTCACTGCTTTAGAGGACTAGGTCATAGGCCATAGTAAACCCAATCAGTTACTATAGTCTCTCACAAATTATTAGAGTGTTGTATACCTTATTACATCTTGCTTGTAGACATGAGCTTGTTAGGAGTATTTCTGGGTTGTTTCGGTACCAGGTGTGAGGTTTTTTTTGCGGGGCCCAAAACTGGAGCTTTGCACCAGGGCGGCGCTCCGCCATGGTCCTGAGGCTCTAGAGCCCCTGTCGGCATTGCGAAGGGGCAAGGCCAGCTGTCCCAGCTACACTCTTCTAGGGTCGCCAGGGTGGAGCAATTAGAAGTCCAAAACTAGCATGGTCCCTCCGTGAAGGGGTTCCGGGATACCTTGCTTTCCTAACAGCAACTTGCAGAGTCGATAGGATGTTTCTCCCTACAGCTATCTCACCAGATAACCCAAACGTGTACATGCATGGATTATGGTTGAGTCAGGGCTTCGGGCTTATAAGGCTATGTACTTACAATGTACTTGACATGGTGAGGGCGACGTGGCCGCCTTGAGTGCGACGTCTGGCAGCGTCATCAGAACATTGCACGACATACCTGCAGCCCTGAAACCTGAACCCTATACTTTGGCTCTAAACCCTGAACAATCCTGTTTTTTGCGGTTCCTGCATGTCGGCCTCAGATCATAGTGGCTCAAAGGTTTGCCCTCGAACCCAGTGAGAAAGGGTTGTTTACTTGAGTCCGGATGGTCTTCAGGGTTTGGGGATTTTACTGTGCAGGGCTTTGGCTTGGAGCTTAGGAAAGGCGCCATGTGGCCTTCAGGCTATCAGTCCCCCAGCGCCACCAGTAGTTGGAAAAGATGCCTTGTTGGCCAGCTTCCAGTTATGGGACCTGCAGAAAACACGGGACATACGGAACCCCAGAACAGACCTTACATCTAAGCAATTACCCAGTGACGATGGTAATTACAGAAATCACCAATTAGCGAACAGTAAGCTCTGTTTTGGTAAGCGTGTCTAAATACTGTAACCGCTTAATTGCTGCACGTAGCCCCAGATTGTGATCCGAAGATGGCGGGCAGGAGCGCGTCTCCATGCCTGCCGATGTGGCCATGCTCTGCGTCCCATGATTGCGGAGCCGTTCTGTTACTACAGGGGTCCAAATGAAGACGATTAGCACTCCCCAGGGTCCTACACTTGCAGTATAATGGGTTATACCCTTAAACCTTGCTCTAATTACGAAGGCCCTGTATGTACACTATCTACCATGCGGAGATCCCCCTTCGACGATCGGGGGTTTTGCGGAATCTCACGATCGCGAAATCAGACAACCCTAAGGGTTTAGGGTTTAGGTTTGTCTGGGTTCCAAAAAGGTGTGAGTTTTTAGGTGTTTTTGGCTTCAGCGTTTAGGGATTGCCAGCCAGCCCAGCTTCAAAAAGGGCCATCTTCATCTCCTGCTAAGAAAAAGCCCAGCAAGGTACGGCAGGCCGAGTCACTTCTTGAGAATCCCGGGGCGCCTCCCGGCTCGATGGCCACCCATGATGCGGCCTCGGCTGCAACTTTATCAGGCTACTGGCTCAAAGACCTTAGAGGTTTCATGACGCTTTGTCAGTGCAAGCATACCCAGATGCTAGTTTGAGGGTGGTCGTTCACAGCTTAGTTAGAGGTTGCAAGCTGTTTGCATGAGTTGCGTTCACGCTCGAAGCATGTTTGTGTTTCTTGCCAGGTTCTCCACTTCCTCAGCCACGCACTGGCGGACGCTGGATTGCTCCTTGCCGGGTCGAGGATCAATTAGAGCCACCCTGGATTCCCAGAAGAGCCAGGTCCGACGCACTCTCAACAGCAACTTCAAGGGTATGGGCTTTCGGGTTCGTATTCCACAACTTACCACTGCATGGGATGGTCGAGTTAACGACTGAGAGTGCGCCCTAAATGCCAGAACCGCTGCATGGTGGACCTAGCACGAGTCTGTGTGAACGTACTATGAAAGCAGACAGCGAGAAACAGACAATGCAAGGGACATGCCCACTGAAACCGCGAGCAGAGAGAGAAAGAAGTGTACCACGACGACGAAGAAGAGAGAGCGAGAGAGAGAGAGAGAGAGAGAGAGAGAGAGAGAGAGAGGGAGCGAGAGAGCAAGAGAGGGAGAGAGGGAGTCCTAGCAAGCAAAGCGCTGCAGCGAATGAACGACAAGGATGGACAAAAGAGCAACATGCCACTCCAGTCACAGCTAACAGACTCCCTCCATGATATCCCTGCATTTGAGCCCCTCACCACCTCCCCAAAGAGCCATCCAATCTGTCGGCGCTCAGAGGACTGCATCCGACTCGGAACACCTCGTCGGAGTGCTGTTTCTTGGCTGGGTTTGTGAAGCTGATCCGCGAAACATGCTGTAGTTGATTTTAATACGCCGTATACACAGTCATGCGAAATCGCATAAGGGCAAAGTATACACACCCCGAAAACACTTCCAGTTATTCAGCCCCCCTTACAAGCATAGACACTGCAGTCACCTGCGATTTGGGTTCGTCAACTAGCATCTGTTCGTTCAACCTGTGACTTCCTCCGTAAAGTTGCCTTTGCAGCTGAAGTTCATCTTGCACGGGACTGTCTGCATTGTGCTGCAGCAGTTGAAGCTAGCTCGGCGGAGTCATCCCAAATTCTCTGCTCTTAAAATGCATTGGCAGCAATAGCTACATTCAATGCTGAATGCCTTGGCAAACC